AGTCCTGGTAGGAACAAAGAGGGCGGGACAAACGTGAGCGGAGAACTGATAAAGGCGCATGATGACTGTGTATTCGGTGATGCGGAAGAGCCGAGATTGTGCCGGCCGAGCAGGTTGTGAACTTGAGACGGCGCCTCCTTGGGGGGCACGGTAGAGTCGATCACGACTTCATCAGCGACTTCGAAAGCCGCCCAGGGCGGCGGGCTGGGCCTCATGTCCGGACATGGTGCGCTTACGAGGTGGGGGCGTGTTGTACGCCCTTCTCGATAAGAGGGTTCTCGACGATGACCAGGAAGGCGAACTGAGCAAGATGAGCGACGATGGAGATGAACAGCACCTCATAGCTCGCGGCCATCATGGAGATGCCATAGTAACCGGCATAGCCGATGGAGTACATGGGGTGGGGAGCCATCTCAAAGACACCGTCAAAAGTGAGCTCCTGGTCGATAAGATAGAAGAAATCACCCAGTACCAGGCGTAATCCTTGACCACTCTGTGCGCATCGAGCTTGACCCACAGGTTGAAGAGGACGAGGCCAATGCCAATGGACCAACGCACGGCGCCAATGACGAAGCTCTCGCCTCAGGCTTGTGACCGCAGATGATGGCGAACAGGCAGTAGGATACGAAGTCACACATGAGGATGAGGTCAACAACGCGACGGAAGGTCAACCAGGTGTTGTACTCCATGGGTGCCTTCTCGAACTCATAGTCTTCGGGAATCTTAGCCTCAAGCTCACGCTTTAGGGTGTTGTACAGCCAAGGCCTGGGCTGTTTGCCAGTACTTGGGTGCTCAAAAAGCTTCCACCGCGTGGCCCAGGTCTCCAGGCGACGGTGCTGGGACTGGATAGTCAGGAGATAGCCGATGCCAATGTTGTAGGACGCTCTCCAGAAAAGGAAGATCAGGGCGAAAACAGGCCGCTTCAGACCCCAAGGAAGGAGGTATGCAATGGCGATCATGCCACCAAGGAACGCGAGCACGAGGACGTCGGAAAGATTCTTGGGCTGCCGGGGATCCAGGAGCTGGGACACCATGTCATGGGTCGTGGGAACGGTGAAGACTGCAGCATGAGGGGTTTAGGTCAGAGTGGGGTTCTTTGGGTTCACAGATGTGTTCGTTGGTGTTCGTGACATTGCTGAGTTACGCACCTGTGCCATCGGGTGTTCGACCAAAAGTCTTTTTCGGCTTCTGATCCGAGTCCTGCTGAGCTGCAGGCTCCGATTGCTGATTGGAAGATGGAGACAGAGCCGGTTTCTGACGGAGCCGCACGCTGGCGGCGCCGGCCGAGACATCGGTGGCGGAGCTCATGTTGGGGGCAATTGCGTCGGAGCGCGGCGAGGCGGGGATTTAGGTCCGGAATGGGCAGATGTTGGGGGCCGCAGGTTGATGCGGTCGTAGGGCGGCGTTACCGGCTTGTGAGTGGGGATCACAAGTGTAGGGACGTGCGTGAAGGCCAATTGTGTTCACGCGATCAGGCAGCGTAGGTGGACGGGCGGAAAAGAAAGGGGATAGGAGAGGCAGAGATAGAGAGAGAGAGAGAGAGAGAGGGAAAAGGGTAAGAGGATGAGCGAGATGTCGAGGCTTCTCTAGCTGCAGGACTCGTGCGGGCAGGTCGGCCGAGAGAGTGCCGCTGTTGGCTGAGCTTACAGCGTGGTACTCCTCTGAAATGTCACAGAGAGCTTGGCTATTGCGTCGGGGTCTCCAGTGTTTTCAACGGGGTTTTGCTGCAGTCCGAATCACATGGGGTTGGCCTATTCCCTTTTTCTTCTTGTCGCTTTTTTTGCCTTTTGTGTAATGGTCAACCTCAAGGCGCGATGAGTTGCAGGGTTTGAACCGTGGGAGTTTCAACAAATAGGTTTCGAGGCGGCAGGCAGCGGGACCAATCAGCCGGTACTGTCGAGAGAAAAACCCCGCGGGATGCCGCAGCAGGGCGTGGGTGAAGGATGCTGATGCTGCAAGCTCGCAATGGAGAGGGGGGGGTGGCGCGCCCAGAGAGAAGAGGGGAGGCTTGACAACGACGGACCAGAGGTGAAGTTCGATGGTTGAACCCCAGCCGTCCGTTCCCAAGAGCAGAAGAACAAGCACCCGAGTCGTGCACAACGGGGTAGTGGGTGTAGGCCAGACCGCAAGCGGTGGGTGGGTGAGGTGGAGGTTGGTTTCCCAGACAAGCTTTGGGAATTGTTGCTGCGAAAGAGACAGATGAGGATGTGAGGCACACGACAGGAAAAGGGAAGCCAGGAAAAGAAATTGGAACGAAGAGGAAACGAGAGCAAGTGGCCTCAACGTTTTCACTAGCAGGCACAGCCAATTCCAACAGGCTTCCTCGTGGGCAGGAACATGTGACGAGCGGGCGGGGTCTCTCCTTTGCTCCTTCTCCGTCCTCTGTCCTATCAGTTGCCGCCCTCGAGCGCTCTCCAGCCACAGCTCGAGTATTTCCGGCCTGTTCGAAGGAGTTCCAGAACTCGCTTCTCAGCCACAGCCAGACTCAAACACCCTCATCTCACGCAATTCTCACGATAGTCCGCCATCGCGACCGACGACGCCAGCGACCCATCTCGACTCCGAATCCTTCACGCACCTAACACGATGGAGCATGGGTACCCTCCAGTTATGTCTTCAGAACGCTACATGCCCAGAGACCTGGGCTCTCTTCATGCCTTGTCCGACTCTGGCGACAGGGGTACGCCCGGTTGCCCCATTTTGACTGAGAGAAGGGTCCCTCAAGGAAACGAGGTGCGATGAATCACCCCCTTCCAACGGTCGCCCTCTCCTGTTCCGTGGGGTTTATAGCATGCCTGGTCTTATGGTTTCCGACTGCCCACCACGCTGATTGCCTCTTCATGCCGTCTGCCATGTTTCTCGTGCCCCACGCTCCCTCGTTTGCTACGCTGGGGCCCGGGCGGCCAGGGATGGGCGGTCAGATGCATGATGTTCCAGAGTGACAGCAACGCGCCACCCAGGCCACGTCTTTTTAGCGCATTCGACCGCGTTCTTCTCCTCGTCGGCGCATGTGTATAAGATCATGTATAAGATCATGTTCATGATCCAAAGCTGGCATCCGTCCCTGATTCCACGTGGGCTACCTCGACCAGCTCAGTCACTCATTCACTCCTTCACTCCTTCACTCCTTCACTGCCATTCACTCACCCACTCACTTGCTCACTCATCACCCCACGCTCACTGATTCACACACTCGTAATTCTCACAAGTCACACACACACACACTCTCGAGACTCATCTCACTTACAGTTGCTCCATTCATTCTTCTCTTGATTCATCCGTTACCAAGTCTGGTACTTACCTGGTCTCCTAAAAAAGAAGAAAAAAAGAGAAAGAAAGAAAAAAAAAAAGGGAAGAAATGACCGACAAGACGAGCCCCTCCCCCGAGCCCACAGAGAAGCCCCTTCCGGCCCGCCGTCCAGGCACCTCCGGCACCGAGGCCCTCCTTGTGACGAACCGACGCCGCGCCTCGGAGAAGTACCAAAAGGCTCAGCGCGCCGAACGCACATACCGTGCCAAGAAGCGCTCCGCCGCCGCCCGCAGCGACCTTACTGACGCCCGCATCCACCTCCGCGACGCCGTCCGCCACTTGCGCCAGGCCGCGACCCTTGCTTTCGCCGCCGTCCGCTCCATCCCCTACATCATTGGCGAGAAGCGCGACGCCGCCCGCGCCCGCAGCGACGAGAAGAAGCACAAGCGTCAGACGGAGCAGCACCGCAAGCTCGAGGAGCGTCTCGCGCGCGAGGCCGAGGACGCAAGCTCGCACGACGGCGCCGAAGGCGCGGCGCCCATTCCACCCGGCGGGCTCGGGCCCGGGGCCCGTGATGGTCCATTCGTAGGGTCCGAGTCGAACGGGTGGATGAGGGCCTCGTTCGTCGAGGCGGACAAGGGGGCGGGGTGC